TTGAGGTTGTTGTCAGCTAGGCAGACACCATGGCACTCTATCCCAGACAATAGAGTGAGGCTCTTGTCTCAAAAAAAAGAAGCATATTCTATGGAAAATAGTATGGAGGTTCCTAAAAAAAAGTAAAAATAGAACTACCACGTGACCCAGCAATCCCACTGCTGGGTATATATCCAAAGGATAGGAATTCAGTATACTGAAAAGGTATCTGCACTTCCATGTCTACTGCAGCACTATTCACAATAGCCAAGATATGGACTCAACCTAAGTGTCCATCAATGGATGAATGAACAAAGAAATCGTGGTACATCTACACACTGGAATATTATATAGCCACTAAAAAAGAATGAAATCCTGCCATTTGCATCAACATGGATGGAACTGGAGAACATTATGTTAAGTGAAATAAGCCAAGCACAGAATCTTGCATGTTCTCGCTCATATGTGGGAGCTAAATATTAAAAACAATTGATTTCATGGAGACAGAGTAGAATGATGGTTACAAGAGGCCGGAAAGGATATCAGGGAAGGTAGGATAAAGTAGGTATGGTTAATGGGCGCAAAAATATAGTCAGAATGAACAATATTTGATGGCACAACGACTATAATCAATAATAAGTTAGGGTATACTTTCAAATAACTAAAATTGGATTGTTCCTAATGCAAAGAAATATTAAATGCCTGAGGTGATGGACACCCCAATTACCCTTATTTAATTAATTCACATTGCATGGCTGTATCAAACCATCACATGGACCCTATAAAGATATACAACAATTGTATAGCCATAATAATTAAAAAAAATAAAAAACACATATTGGCTAGGCGCGGTGGCTCATGCCTGTAATCCCAGCACTTTGGGAGGCTGAGGCAGGAGGATTGCTTGAGGCTGAGAATTCAAGACCGGCCTGGGCAACACAGCAGACTCCATCTCTACAAAAAATTAAAAAATTAGCTGAGCATAATGGTGGGCACCTGTAGTCCCACCTACTCAAGAGGCTGAGGCAGAAGGATCACATGAGCCCAGAAACTCCAGGTTACAGTGACCTATGATGGAGACACTGCACTCTAGACTGGGCAACAGAGTGAGACCCTCTTAAAAAAAAAAAAAAATTATGTTAAGAAGGGACCCAGAGGCTTCAGCAGCTGCCAAAGGAGTCCATGGCAAAAAAGGAATGATCTTAAAGGGTTTGTCAAAGAACAGCCCACAGTACAGTGGGGAGAGAAGAAAAAAAAATAAGAAACATAAGATGGATCCTGTGAAAGTATTCATCTAACTTCAAAAGCTAAGCAAGGGTAAAGAGTGTGTTAAATCCAAACAGACAAAATCTGGCCTAAAAGAGCTCTAGGGTAAGGCCGGGTGTGGTGGCTCATGCCTGTAATCCTAGTACTCTGGGAGGCCGAGGCAGGCGGATCGTCTGAGCTCAGGAGTTAGAGACCAGCCTGAGCAAAAGCGAGATGCTGTCTCTACTAAAAAAAAAATAGAAAGAAAGAAATTAGCTGGACAACACATATATATAAAAAATTAGCTGGGCATGGTGGTGCATGCCTGTAGTCCCAGCTACTCGGGAGGCTGAGGATTGCTTGAGCCCAGGAGTCCGAGGTTGCTGTGAGCTAGGCTGACGCCACAGCACTCTAGCCTGGGCAACAGAGTGAGACTGTCTCAAAAAAAAAAAAAGTTCTAGGTTAAGAGACAAGTGTGTTTCTGTATCCTTCTCAATGTCAAGTTAATTAGCTATAAACAACACCTCAGACTCAGTACTTTAGTATGAGAAACACAACAGTAAAATCCTATTGAACACTAGCGTATGATGCATAATGCTTTACCTTTTAGCCTGTAACTGGCGTCCCATACAAGGCTTTATGCAAGCTCCATAAACCTGCCTCTTTACTAAACACATGGGCAGCTTTTACCATCCTATGAAGATACATGATAATGGCCGAGTGCCCTCTATAATTAGATGAGTGCAGTTAAAACCTGCCAAGCATACACTGGCTCACAGCAACTCTTGAGATTGCTAGAGGCCCACTGACAGATAAGGTCATACTTCCCAGATGCCCCATGGAAAGGGAAAGGATCACTCCAGTCAGCCTGCTCAATCTGTTTCAGAGAAGAGGCTGGGGGGCAGGGCGGTGGGTGGGTATTACCAGAATAACTAGACCCTTCCTTCTTGGCTATGATTTGAAAGTTATTTAACTATTTCAACATGATCTTATACTCTGAGAAGTATCTAATAGGTAAGGACAACAACAAACTTGGTTAAATGAAGTGAGAGTTTTAACTATTTCTCTGGCTGTGTCTCTTACTCCACCCTTTATGCCATGCAACTCTCCCCCTGGAACACTATGAATGTTATCAATTTATAGATCTTACAAATTTCTTTTATCTCATGCGCTAACCACAGCTGTAGGCATGGCACACAGAAATGGAGACCCTCTACAAACAGGGCATGGTGAAGGCCAAGAAGGGCCACAGAAAGAAACAACCCTAAGCACATGAAGGCACAACAAAAGCTGAACACCCCATCTGGGCCAGCATCCTATTATCTAAGTCTTATCTAGACTTAAGACAACAGGACAGACCTATAGTCAGTTTAATATTTAGATTTCAAAGCTATAAACCTCACGTTTCATCTAGCTGATAAATATATTCTAGGCAACAGTATACTTTATTTGAGTCCAATGACTTTTATCTTAATAATCTTTTATTTGATACTCAAAACAATTATTTAAAAATCTAAACAAGTATCTCATTCTATCTTCTCAAGTCATGAAATCTCAAATGTACACAAAAATTTAAAACTGCTTTCTAATACCTAAATTAGTTAGTATAAAAAAAGGAGATGTTTTCTGAACTTTCCTAACTAGTAAAACTTACGGAGTTTTCACCTGGAACAGTTCAATATCGCACTGTGATTGTACTACTATCTTACCAAAAGTTTCCTTTGCTAATTCAAGGTCTGACTCTTCCTGTAATTTCTTTAGCCGCAGTTTATCTGCTAATTGTTCTTCTGGTGTTAGCACTTTAGGTTCTTCAGGTTCTTCTAACTGAAATGAGACAGAAAAGTTGTTTTTAAAAAAGGACTGGGATTATGATGCATCCAGTACATTTCTGTATTATATAAAAAATTTTTTTTTTTTTTTTTTTAGGCAGAGTCTCACTCTTTTGCCCGGGCTAGAGTGAGTGCCGTGGCGTCATTCTAGCTCACAGCAACCTCAAACTCCTGGGCTCAAGCGATCCTTCTGCCTCAGCCTCCCGAGTAGCTGGGACTACAGGCATGCGCCACCATGCCAATTTTTTTTTTTCTATATATTTTTAGTTGTCCAATTAATTTCTTTCTATTTTTAGTAGAGACGGGGTCTCGCTCTTGCTCAGGCTGGTTCTGAACTTCTGAGCTCAAACAATCCGCCCGCCTCGGCCTCCCAGAGTGCTAGGATTACAGGCGTGAGCCACCGCGGCCTAGATATTCTTATTCTAATTTTACAGATTAAAAATGATGACACAGAGAGGTTAAATAATCTGCCCACAGTAACAGAAGGTTAACACAGCTGGTAATGTGACAGAGCTGAGATTTGAACTGAGGAAGACTGGGATATTTCTATAGCCATTTTTAAAAATAAAGAAGATTACGGACAAGGTGAAAATGTCACTTTGATATGCTGCTACTGAAACTATATTGGAATGGCCTTTCTAGGACAACTTAGTAATAATACATATCAAGTCTTAAAATATTTTTTTATGCTTTAATCAAGTAATTCCACTTCTAGGTATTTATCTTAAGAAATCTAAGATGCACATAAATATTTAAGCACAAGAATGTCTACTGGAATATTATTTAAAATTTCAAGTAAATTTACAGATAATCTAAATGTCTAAAAACAGAATGGTTAAAATGTGGCACATCCATGACAATACTATGTACATATTTAAAAACATGTTTTGTTCAAAGAATCAGAAAAATGTTCCCCCTTATCTTATTGTATGATTACAAAATTATCATTATAACAAATTTTAAAATACAGAATAGTAGTTGTCATTTCCCAATCTCACTCCTCTGCGATAATAGTCAAAAAAATAATCGCTATACCTGAGTAAAACAATAAATTTATAAAAATCTGTAAGCTGGCCAAGCACAGTGGCTCATGCCTATAATCCTAGCACATTGGGAGGCCAAGGTAGGAGGATAGATGGGGCCGGGAGTTCAAGACTAGCCTGGGCAAGACCCTGACTGCACAAAAAATAAAAAAAATTAGCTGGGTGTGGTGTTGTATGCCTGTAGTCCTAGGCAACTACTGAAGCAGAAGTATTTCTTGAGCCCAGGTGTTGCAGATTGCAGTAAGCTACGGTGACACCACTGCACTCTATGCTAGGCAACAGAGCAAGACCCTGTCTCAAAACAAACAATAAATGCTGTAAGACCATAAATTTATTCAAAAAAGAAAACCGTAAAATCAAAAATACCCCTCATTTTTTACCACTTAATGTTGTTATACCCTCTCCTTAGCATGAAAATTGGTAATTAAAAAAATTAAGCTTTTACGCTGCTTTCCAGTACAAACCACATTCAAAGTAACCAAATAGCGAAAAGAAAAAGTCAGCCGATAAATAGAAAAGAAGTCAGAAAATGCGAAACATCACCCATTCTGCAATCTCTAATAAAATAATTAGGCAATGATCATCAATGATACTAAAACTACTGGGTGAGAAGTTAATGTGAAACTGGATTACTTTGTAAAAGGAAAAATGTAATTTTATAATGGAAGGATCAGGCTGTCACCACCTTAACCCAGTGATCAATTTCAGCATTACTAACAATAGGACTGACATTACACAACTCCCGATGTGATGTGATATGAAACACAGCATCATTTCTACTGTATTCCAGTCAAAAATATTTAACCTGAATCTAATCAAACTTTTAGACTTAATTGTCAACTTATAGGAAATTGCAATTATGAGGAAGCAATCAGAAAAATCTAGAAGGTGGGATGTTCTACAAGACAACTAACTTGGTCTCTTTAACAAGTAATGTAATTGGGGAGCAGGGATGGGGGTAGTGGAGAGACAGACCCTCACTCTCAAAGACTTAGGATATACTATTAATAACAACCAAATGCAATACATGGTCCTTGTTTCAACAATCCACACGTAAAAGACATTTTGTGACAACCAAAAGCTGCATTTAAACAGATGTTAAAAAAAATTATTATTCATTTATTAGGTGTGATAATACTATTGTAATCATGTGAGAAACATCCTTAATTTTTCAGAAATGTATACTAAAGTATTTCAAGGTAAAATGCATGTGTTTTTTACTTACATGATTATATTTTAGTGACACAAGAACAGATGAAGCAAATATGGCAAAACATTAACAACTTAAATTTAAGTGATATGTATTATTCATTATGCTATTTTCTTCACTTTTATGTTGAAAGCAAATAAATTAATACGATATTCCTGATCCTACTCCAAATAATCAAGAAAACATTTACATAGCATGTGGTACAGAAACACTTTTTGTATTTCACTCAATACATACACTGTAGATAAAGACTAATCATAACTAGAAAGAACTGTAAGCACCGGCAAAAATCATTGACTGTGGTCACTGCAAAATCATGACTGTTCCTGAGTGTGTGTTGAAAGTTAAAAGGCATTCTAATACATAAAGCTTCAGTTCTGGTTTTTTTTGTTTTTTTGTTTTTGAGACAGAGTCTCACTCTGTTGCCCAGGCTAGAGTGCCATGGCGTCAGCCTAGCTCACAGCAACCTCAA